TAACACAGAACCGTATATTCCGCAAGACAAGCTACTGACAGTTGGGCTGACCAACACCACAGCCTGACACTACAATGAACAACAATCTGTGTTAGTCAAGTGCTGCAGAGAATTCTCGTTCCGAAAAACAATCCGCATGTTTGCTGTTTGGCAATTCAATGTCTAATTCTTTATCATTCCTTGCGGACATAAGACCCATGTTGAAAGCCGGTCACGTTCACTCGCTGCAGTGAAATGTTTTGAAAGCGTGTGCGAAAGCACAGCATAATTAGTTCGAAAATCACCGATGTCAGATGCTGGCAAGGCATGCTCCGCGAAAAATGACAGCCCGCGCCCGGCCCGCCGCGCGGCCCGCCCGCCGCCCCCGCCCCGCCCCGGCTACAGCATTTTACATAGGCTTCTGCCAAAAAGTACCAACACATATATCGGTTTAACGCCCTATTTTATTCATTGTCATCGTATATTTCCATAAATCTAATTATAAAAAAGAGACTAAACTAACGAAATACCGACGCTCATACTCCATATAATTGCTATCGTGCTAATGCATCTTAAAAATTATCGCTACTATAAACCCGAAAGTTTTAATATGTAACTCATAAGACGGTAATTTCAATTGATTATGCGGCTATAGCGTCCTTTTCCACCGTCTCCCCTTGTCCTTCCCGGTTCCCTTTACTCGTTTCGGTATTTTTTCTGTTTAAAGTCTAAGTTTCCTTTTGGTCATTACTATTACCACAGTATGATACCCATGTAGCCTTATCAAAGTTGTCTTCATTTCTATTAACCAATATACTAACATTACCTTACAAACCAAGCAGTATGTCGGCCTAAGTGACGTCGATATTGGATATATATACTATATTATATATATATATATATATATATATATATATAAGGTATATAATATTATATATTAATTACTATATATATATATTATTAATATATATATTTTGCGTGTATATGCACTCATAAGTATTTTATGTGAACCACTTATGCGCACATGCAATAGCGCACGGTACCGCACGCAGCGCATGCAGCCACACACGCGCACACACACACAACAGCACGCGCGCACGCCACGCAACGCACGCCACACACACAAAACACACGCCACGCATGCAGTCACGACAGCGCGGCCGGCACACAGCACACACGGCGCGCGCACTCCACGCACTGGCACGCACGCACACAGCACAAAACTACACGCATAATAAAAAACATCCACACCCACCCACCGCACACACACACACACACACACACACACACAGCACAAGCACACCCACAGCACACACACACACCACACGACACACACACACACACCAACCCGCACACCCACACACACACACCCCACACACACCACACACCCAAACAGCACACGACACCACACACACCACACACCATACACACGCACAGCACACACACACACACACACACACCACCAGGCACACACACGACACACACGACAGCACACACAGCACACACAATCGATATATATATATATGTATATATATATATATATATTTGTGTGTGTAGGTTTGTGTTTTGTGTGTATGCGTGCGTGCGTGCGTGCGTGTGTGTGTGCGCGTGTAGCTGCATGCGTGCGTGCGTACGTGCGTTTGCCTGTGCGCATAAGTATTCACATATAGTGCATATACACGAAATACCGACGACAATATGGCGAACCACTATATAGCATGAATCGGCTCTTTATCGGCAGCACCGAAAAGTGTAAATCAAGAAAATAAATGACACTAAAAGTGTATGAAACGAGCGTAAATAAACGGCGGGTGTTATTATTACAACATTATAAATAACCACAAATAAAGGCCAACGTAAACAAACTGTCATTGCACGTTACATGCCCCGTATGGCCGCAAGCTGGCAACAGCGTACAAAAACAGTAGGCTTCGTTATTGCAGGCCAAGGCAAACATTCAACATCGTTTAGGAGGTGTCAGAAATGATGAATTTCACCCATTAAAACGTCACGGCTTGAGTAGGCCGAGATAGGCGTGGGTCTTATCAGCATTAGGCCCGTTCTCATCAATCTAAGTGGCCGACACCGGAAAATACGAACGGCGTAATGATGTTTAGTCCTCACCGGTGTAAGATGCAGAGTTAAGCCCGCATAACATCCCGTCAACATTTTTCCCAAACTCCAGCACTTTTCATCGGCGATGCATGAAGCGATTACAATTTTGCTAATATATACGTTATAGGAACCAATTTCATGGAATAAACATTCTAATATACACGACTGCATTGACATATGTTTTTAACCATCTTCGTGTTCATGACTCAACTCACTCTCCCACTTTGTTATGTCGCGCGAGTACAATTCAATTAATGTAACTAATATAGCATGAAAACAATTGCTACTTTACTAGCGCCTCATAGCGGAAGTCCAAAGTTGCGGTCACTAAGCAACCTATCAATAGATATTCTGATGCCCGCAGACAACGATAAAGACACATATATGATATCGCTGTTAGAGCGACTCGACGATGGAAATGTAAAGAAAATGCTCTAGTATCGCTTACATGAAATGAAATTTGCAACATCAGAAACAATATGTAGAGGGGTCGATAGTTCGATAAAGCGCCACGTTAGAATATATAGGACTAAGCATTTTATGCAGATCATTGTTTTACTAGAAACAAAGTCGAAATTGACCATAAAAGGCAACAACAGTGCTCTCCAGCGACGCTACCGCGCCGGACTCCGTATTTCCTTTGATAATAGCATCAGCGGCGATGTTGAAAAAATATTATCACAAACTCGTATGAGTAATAGTCGTGTGTTTTCGCATCCAACCTGATTATGCATAATTGTGGCATATATTAGAATAATACTTAGCGTTATTGTTCGTAGCAGTGCGATGGGCGTGCGTCCATTGTCCCGGGTGCGTCTGTCGTTTGTCACTGACGTCCTTGAATACTTGACCA